TAAACGTGACACGTGATGACGCGGGTGAAACCGCGGGGCACAGCTAGTTGTATTTATAAACAAGATATATCTGTGGATTTTAAAAGTGATTTTTTTTAAAAAGTGTGAAGTTCAAATCTACAGCACTGGTGAATAAAGAAGTGGTCACTTTCCCCATGCAACACAGTTACGGATAACTTTTACAAGAGATGATTATACCATAACATACTATTAATACACATATAAATAGAATTGAAGTATGTGGCCTCTAAAAAGCTTGGTGTGCTCAGTAGATCGAGACAGGGTTTCAGGCCGGCTTTTGTAAAGTTGTAAGCCATGTGCTTACAACTTTACAAAACGCAAATTGGGTCTAACGAGGAATACTGTTCTCTCTCCGGGGTCTACTATCTCTGGGCAGGGGCAACCCAATGCCAACTCCTTCCACTTGACCGCATCCAGCGCAGAGCGGTTCGAATAGTTGACGACCGAGTCCTTTCCAATCGGCTCGATTCACTGGCGCTGCGTAGGGATGTAGCATCCCTTTGCATTTTCTATTGAATTTACTACGAGGAGTGCTCTGACGAATCGTTCGGATTAATTCCAGCCGCCAAATTTCATGAACGCACATCGCAAACGCGAACTAGTTTCTCGCCAATTTTGCCCATGTGCTCTGACTTTGCCTTGGCAATAACTCTTTTGAGGGACCTGGAGGCGAAGTCATACTGCATCACAGTTACAGCACACTTAAAAAGAAATATGACTGTGACTGTAATGCAATATTACGGGAGTGACCAAACCAAGGCTGAGATCTGCCTCCGATGGGTACCACAAATGATGTAATAAATAGTTCCATTCCCTGTAACACCACATCAGTAAAAGAGGCAGCAACAGCGCTGGGATCATCCGACGAGAAGCAAACCGCCCCCATGGGTAGGATGCAAAGAAAGACCGCATTCCGTCCCAATCCGCCGACCTGTAATGCCAAACACGGCGGCAACCTGCAGAACGCAACCGCGAGAGGAGCGTGAGTGGCACCACACTCCGGGTCAGACAATGGTCCGAAGAGCCGAGAGGGGTATCGACGGAAACCTGATATCCGTCCGGATGAGAGGTCAGCAGAAGGTCCAACAGGGAAGGTGTATGATCCTCCACATCTGGAATCCGCGTAGGTGAAGTAACCAGTTGTGTCAGACCATATGCCATGGCAAAGTCGTAAACAGATCTCCCCGCATGATCGGTTAAACGTGAACCGAGCCATTCGGCGTGGTGGGCGTTAAAATCGCCAAGGGTCATGATCTCTGCGGATGGGACCTGTTGTAGCAAGGAATCTGTAGCCATTTGGACGTAGTCGATAAGTCGGTCTGTTTCGGCATGACCGCTATGGGACCTATAGAGGCACCCGTAGACGCGTGGATTGTCGTCGCTATCTACGCGTAGTCAAAGGATAGACAGGTCCAAATCTTCAAGACTGCCGAGGCGTCGAGAACAAATGCCCTCTCTGACATACGCTCAAACTCCAGCCCTAGGCACAAAGGAGTGCTCCAATTTGTACCTTGGGTTGGAGAGATACGAAGTAAAAAAAGCTAAAAAAAGCCGGAGAGGACACCTGCGTTTCGGTCAGAAAGAGCAAGGACAGCTTCGCCGTCTCGAGATAGTAGTGGACGGCGTTTAGGTTCCAGTGAAGTCCCCTGATGTTACAGAAATTCACGGATAGCGTGGCAGGGGTCGCCTTGGTATTGTTGCTCAGTTTGCCCCGAGCAGTTATGTTTTTGAGCGGAATTTACGCACCAACGCTCAGGAGTGGAATAACATGGTCGTGGGTGCTCAGCGAGGGATTCTCCAGGGGTGCTGGTACCCTCCTGGGGTAGTCTTGGGTGTAATTCCGCTACCATGTTGATTGAATTGGGCCTCCGGCCACCTGCACTCACCAGACGAAACGCAGAAGCAGAGCTTCTTCTTCACGCCGGTATTCTGTGAGGTTGTGGTACCAACCCGGCTCGAGCCGGCCCATAAGTGCATCAGCAAAAACTGCCGCGTGGCTTTGCCACCGTTAAAGTTTTATTGTTGTTACGGATCGCCGTAACGCCGTTCGAAAAATGAGTGAAACACGTTGGTCTTGCTTAAACTGGAGGCAAGCGGCGGTGAAGAGGAACTTTTTCTTTTCTTGCTGATGTTTTCTTTTCTGTAGCTGGAGAGCGACTGCCGACCGTTCCGGCCGGCCCGTCTTATATACTATTTGGCCGTTGCTGGCCAGCGGACCCTTGCCTCACCCCCGCGCCTTTCTTTATTAGGTAGATCTCTTAAAAACTAATGTACAGACTTAAATATATTACATTCTTACAATTACTTAATAAACTAATACTTATATAACAATTTTTCTACATAGTAAAGGCTAAAACGTTATTATTCGTGACCCTGCCCCCCGCCTCAGTACTATTAATATAAAACGTCGTGGCGCGGCGCGCGTAGCCTCATTCGCTCCGCGGCCGCGTCACGGTAACATGCCCTGTTTATTATTTATCGTGCCTAAAGGCTTAATACATAAGGAATTAAATTGCACTATACAAAAGAATACATTTTACATATAATACTTATTCTACAATTTGGCATTAATTAATTTCTATATTCTAAATCTATGTTAACTCTCGCCAGTTGTTCGGTGCCTTTATTGCGAGAGTTATTACATAGTTACAATATTATTTATTTAATAATAAAGCTATATCTCTCGATATTATTGCTACGGCTTTTCCCGCGTTGCTGTGGGCAACCACCGCTAGTTGTGGAACCGTGAGCGCGCCCCGACGATCATAACATTCTCATGGCTCCGCCCACCGCCCCTAGGTTGTTCAACTAGCGATGGTTACCACAAGCAATCCGTAAGTCATTTCGTTCGAGGTATTACTATGTTTGCGTCGTGCACATTCTCCCGCCGTCGCCACGCTGCGATCCCTCTGGTAGCACGACGATCTTCTTTGTCGGTCTTCGTAGTACATGCCCCGTGCATGTGGTTACGTCCACTACTCGTACCTCTCCGTCGACGCCAGGATATACGTTGCTGATTTTCCCCCTGGGCCAGATGTTGCGTGGTAGATTAGAGTCACAAATGATGACTAGGTCTCCAATCTTCAGTGATATGCCTATGCTGCTGGGCTCCCGCCGGTGTTGGAGTAGGGGCAGGTATTCCTTTACCCACCTTCTCCAAAACACGTCGGCCAGGGCTTGAGCTCGTTTCCACTGCTGGCGGGCCGTCACGTCTCTCTCGCTGAAGTGTCCCGGCGCAGGTACGTGCGAGTTGGGACTGATGATGATGTGATTCGGCGTGATGGCTTCTGGGTCTCCTGGGTCGACTGAGACGTGTGTGAGAGGTCTTGAGTTGACCGTGTTTTCGACCTCGGCGAGCAGGGTCACCAAGGTCTCGTCACTGGGATAGCGCTCGTTGAGAGTGACGCGTAGAGCTTCTTTCACGGAGCGAACCATTCTCTCCCACGCGCCGCCCATGAACGGTGCTGATGGCGGTATGTACTTCCACACAATTTGTCGACATGTGGTTTCGTGCTCGAGGGCTGCGAGTGCTGCTTCGGCCAGCTCCTTGTCGGCTGCCTTGAAGCACGTAGCGCTGTCACTCCATATTTCCTTTGAGCATCCTCTTCTGCTCATAAAACGCATGAGCGCCGACACGGCTGAATCGGCGCTTAAAGAGTGGGCTACCTCTATATATATTGCTCGTGATGTCATGCAGGTGAATAACGCGCCATAGCGCTTTTCACGATGTCGTCCCACTGTGACCTCTATTGGCCCGAAGTAGTCCAGTCCGGTGTATGTGAACGGACGTGCGTGATGAGCGAGGCGTGCGGACGGCAGGTTCCCTGTAGATGGTGATGCAGGCTTGGCTTTTCTTAGACGGCACGGTAGGCAGCTTTTGACGACAGTTTTCACCACTGGACGTATTTTTCTTATGTACAGTCTCTGTCTTAATTCGTTCACGACTGTTTCCACGCCTCCGTGATGCAACCTCTCGTGTACGTGGGTTATGTACAGACGAGTGTATGCGTGCTTCCCGTCTAGTATGGGAGGGTCGTACGTGTCCTCTTCTACTTTTGCTGATGCTGCTTTTATTCGACCTCTGAGGCGTAGGATCCCCTCTTCATCGATGTATGTGCTCAGGTGGCCTAATTTATCGTCACCTCCCGGAACACTTCCGTTGGCGATCCTCTTGAGCTCCTTCGTGAAGCTTTCCCGCTGGCTTGCACCCACAGTTGTTCGGCTCTTACGTGATATGCGGCTGGTATTCCTACAAGTGATGAGACAGTAGGAGTTGCCTTTTTCTCCTTGGCTGGGGTGTTGCGTTCGTTTGTTCTTCGCCAGCCAGGGTCGCTATCTTGTCTTGCTCGGTTACGTTTACGCCCAGCCTTCACCACGTGCTTGTTTCGTCTGCACATGTCGATGAATAGGAGGACTCTCGCTGTCGCCCTTATGAGGCGAATCCATTTCGAAAATCTTTCTATTTGTGGCAGATGTGTTGCTGGCGAGTCTACCCTTTTAATTGCGATGTTACACACTTCTCGTTCTTCCCCGGTGTCGTATTGTGTTGTTTTCTCTTCCTGCGGCCATTCTGCTGGTGGACGTTGCAGAAACGGGGGCCCTCGGAACCACCGGTGCGACTCGTTGAATCTTTCTGGCGTGGATCGGGTTGCGTCGTCTGCCACATTTTCTTTAGACGGTAGCCAACGCCATTCGTTCTTCTTGGTCGTATCTTCTATCTCCGCCAGGCGATGAGCGACAAAAGCTTTGTACGCGCGAGGCTCCGACCTTATTCATACCAGTGCAGTACGAGAGTCGCACCAGTATGTCTTGCCCGCTATATCGCCATCGTGCTCCTCGACCACGGTCTGCGCGAGACGAGCTCCCAGCAGTGCTGCTTGTAATTCGAGCCGTGGTATAGAGACTGGTTTCAGTGGTGTTACGCGGCTCTTGGCGGCGGCCAATGATACGTTAACGCTGCCGTCTGCTCGCTCCGTTCTCTAATACACGGCTGCTGCGTAGGCCTCCTCGCTTGCGTCGACGAATGTGTGTAGTTGGCGCGTCGACACCGGGTTGTAATCGTAGCATCGCCATATTCTCAGTTGTTCTATGGCGTTAAGTGAAGTAATCCAGTCTTCCCATTTTTCTTTTAATTCCGTGGGCAGAGGGTCGTCCCTGTCCGCCTTGTAACGCCATGTGTCTTGGAATATTCTCTTCGCTGGGGTGGTCACTGGTGATATTAATCCCAGCGGATCAATTAATGCCATTATGATGCTCAACGCTTCACGTTTAGTTGGCAAGCGTTGTTTTTCTTTTACGTCGGCAGGCATCTTCATATTGTGAGTATTAAATCCAATATGATCGCTTTGTACATGCCAGAGCAGGCCGAGCGTCTTCTCAGTTTCTTTTCCGCCCAGGCTCACGGTCGCGTCGTGTTGTTTATGTTCTGTCGTTATTTCTTCTATTGTTTTCGCTTCGTTCGATGTCCACCCGCTGAGTACGAATCCCGCTTGTTTGTGGACGTGATCGACTGCTTTTACCGTTTGCTGAGCTTCCGTGACAGAGTGGAAGCTCTGCAAGTAGTCGTCCATATAGTGATTTCTTTCTATGGTGACCGCAGCTTCTGGGTATGCTTCTGCATGTTCTTCAGCATTTTTATTTTTGATGTATAATGCTGTGCACGGTGATGATGTCGCTCCAAAGATGATTGATGTCATCCTATATTCTTCCGGTTGGTCCTCTCGCCGCTTGCCTCTCTATAAGAAACGTAAAACGTCTCTATCTTCTTTGCGCACTTTGATCTGCATGAACGTTTCTTTTATGTCGGCGCTCACTGCATACGGATACTGTCGGAACCTCATGATTACTCCGGGCAATGATTGTAACAAGTCGGGCCCCGAGTGCAGCATATCGATGAGACATATTCCGGCTGTCTTCGCTGAGGCGTCGTGCACCAATCTCGGCGGCTTGTCTGGTTTCGCAGGGTTGATGACTGGGAAGTGTGGCAGATACCATGTCCTTCCTTGCGGCGGTGGCATGGGCGCGCGCTCTGCGTAACCCGAGTTGAAAAGGTTCTGTATGCGTTCTTCGTACTGTAGCTTGAGATTGCTGTCTCGGTCGAGCCTCTTCTCTAAGGTGTGCAGGCGCCTTTCCGCGTCCTTGTAATTATTTGGTATTTGGAAATCCTTTTGTTTCCACAGCAACCCTGTTTCGAATCTGCCGTCCGCCGACCTCTGGCTGGTTTCCTTCAACATTTGCATAGCTCGCTGCTCGGGATCTTCTTTCGGTCTTCTTGGCTCGATGCACAGCGATTCCAATTTGAAATAATTTTTTATTTCCTCTTCTATCGGCTGTGTATCTTCCCTCTGATGTAGTCTGCCGCAGAAGGTGACCGTCGACGTCAATGAGCTATGACAGCCATGTAGAACCCAGCCCAGGTTGGTGTGTGAGGCGACTGGTTGGTTTCAACGACCGACGCGCAGTTTTCTAGACACTATGAGGTGCCAGTTATCTTGTCCGATCAGTATTTTCGGTGAGGCGCGTTAGTAGGTGATATCTTCTTTGATATCCAACAGATGTTGGCAATTCTCCAAGTGATTTTCATTCACGGATTCTGGCGCGAAGTCCAACCGCTCTAACGTACGCGCTGCTTCTATGTTGTGTTCCTTTTGCGCGTACTTTCCTCTTATTTTAAGGCTGACGATCTTGCTTTTCTCATGTTTCACCTCCGAGCCGACCCCTTGTATCCACATTGCGTGGGCTGGGCCGTCGGCGCCGATGACGTCAGCGATTGAGGCATCGACTAAGGTGACCGTGCTTCCTTCATCCAATAATGCGTATGTTTCGACGCAGCTTAGCGGCGCCCTTATTGTTACGGGCGCAATCTTTAGATAAGCGCGGCGGTGCTTGTACGGTTGAGTCGCTGTGATGACCTCCCTTGCCGATGTTGCGGTTTCCATAGCGGGTTCCTTTTCAATTTATGCTGTTCTATCGTGATGCAGCAATTTATGGTGTTTCATCATGCATCCGCCTTTTCCGCACGGTGGAGCTTTATACAGCAATCGGCGATGTTTACCTCGCAGACAGCGGTAGCATATATTATTCTTCTTTGCTACTTCCCATCTGTCATTAGTGGACAGAGCGGCGTGTGACTTGCAATCGGGCAGTTTGTGTTCTTGTTTGCATTGAGGGCAGCGTTCTTCATATTGTTTCTTGCTTGTGGCGAAAGCACGTTCTATTTTTCTTGGTCTTCGCTCTCTCGTCTCGCTGTCCTCTGCTATGAACTCCGGCAAGGCATACGCACTGCATTTGTCCGCTTCATCGTTTAAGAACATTGATATATTCTTAAGCTCTGGGATATCTTCTTTCTTTCTAGCTGCATAGTCGTACCATTTGCTTCTCAATATGGGCGTGAGTTTGTCTGTGATAACTCGCGTCATTTCCGGACTATGCAGATAGTGTGCTTTCTTGAGTGCTTCCACGGTGCCCACTACGTTTGCTATGCGATTTGCGAATATGCATAGCTCCCTGGGATTGTCCGTAACTTTGTTCAGCAGCTTCAGCTTCTCTATTTCCAAGTGGATTAACGCTTCTGGTCGTCCGAATCTCCTTTCCAAAGCTTCCATTATCAGGCTGGGATCTGGTTGGCTTATAAGTAGGCAACCGGCGGCTTCTTTTACTGTCCCTTTTAAGCTTCAGCGTATTCTCGCTATGTTTTCGTTCATCGTGAAGTACTTTGAAGATTCTTCGTACGTTGTTTTGAAGCTGAGCCATTCTTTGCTGCTACCATTGAATGTAGGTAGCTCTTGCACATATTTCGGCGGCTCCCTTGTGCTTCGTACTGCTTGTGATAGAGCAGCGGCTAAGGTAGCGACGTCGATTTGTTGCTGCGCCTGCCCATTGTCTTCTTTCTGCGGCGCGGGTTGTGATGCAAACTGCGGAGCGGGTTGCGATGCGAAGTGCGGCGTGGGTTGCGACGCGGGCTGCGGCGCGGGTTGCGAAGTAGACTGTGGAGCGGGTTGCGATGCGAAGTGCGACGTGGGTTGCGGCGCAGGCTGCGGTGCTGGTTGCGATGTAGGTTTTTCTTGCAACCATGTACTAATGCGTACTGATGCTAAATCGTCTTCTATTTCTTCATCTTCGTCATCGGTTGATCCGACTTCTGCTTGTAATCGCTGCACGTGTATTTCTTGCAATTTCGTTCTTGCTTGCAACTGAGCCTGCTCGAGCTTGAGTTCGGCTAACCGCTCTTTCGCCGCTAACTCCGCGAGGAGTCTCTTGCGTGAGGCTACGGAGCGGCGCGACCTAGTCTCGTCGGGCCTTAGTGTGCGCTGCGATCTTCGATCCCTCTCTTGTTGGGTTTCTTCCGTTGTGTTATCGGTCGCAGAGGTAGCCGTTGTATCGCTGACCGTTGTGGTTTCGCTCGTGGTGTTGGATGTACCAATAGCGGTTGAATCGCACCCAGAGGCCTCTTCTGTGGCCCCCTGGGTTGTTTGTTCATCCTTGCGACGCTTCGATGATTCTCCGTTGTTACTACGTGTAATCACCATTTTTCTTCACAATAATATTTTTTCGTTCTTGCGGTTTGCTTCTTTCTCCCGGCAATAACAAGACCGATATTGTCTTTTTCTTCCAGTAATCCGGCTTCTCGAAGGACCATTAATGTTACGGATCGCCGTAACGCCGTACGAAAAATGAGTGAAACACGTTGATCTTGCTTAAACTGGAGGCAAGCGGCGGTGAGGAGGAACTTTTTCTTTTCTTGCTGATGTTTTCTTTTCTGTAGCTGGAGAGCGACTGCCGACCGTTCTTTTTTTTTTGCGCCCGAAGCAATTGGAAAAGGGCTACCCTTTATATAGGGAGGCGGAAATGCATTACGCATACCACGACAGCCGGTCTATCGTGGTTATGAGGGACCTAAGTGATACCCTCTGATACAGCTGGTTGCCAGTCCCTAAAGGCGGTTTTGCCTTTAGGGACTGGCAACCAGCTGTTTAAAGCTTCTTATGCCGTATCGGAAGCGACCCTCTTTTGGGAAAAGAGGGCGCAGGCGGCTATTAGCCGCTGAGGGAGTGCCTACGAAGGCAAATTAATTATGAATAACTTAATTAGAGTTGGCCTGAGCCGCCAGGAGGCAGTTCAGGTCGTTTGAAAGTTTATTGGGCGGGTCCGAAAGGGAGTTCCTCGGCCTGCGGACGCTATAGCGGGAGGAGAGTGGGGCTGCATAAATAGCTGCCTCACGAATAAAATGATTGGAATGCGACTCTGAGGCTTTGAAGAAGTTCTCAGAGAGTTTTTTAAGGAATTGTTGGATTGTAGGGAGCTCTAAGTCCCGATGAAGGTCGGCATTGCGGACGTACCAAGGTGCGTTCGTAGCTCGACGACAGAAGAGGTTTTGAACTACTTGGAGTTCATTAATAATTTTAGGGTCAGCGTGGGCAAAAATGGGGCCCGCGTAGGACATGACTGGTCGTATACAGACCTTATAAAGGGTACGCTTGTTTCTGATGGACATTTTACTGTGTCGGCCCAACATACTGTTGAGCCTACCCAGGTAAAAACGTGCGTGACGGGTTACTCTTTTGACGTAGGACCTGAAAGTAAACCTCGTGTCAAGGGTGACGCCTAAATATTTAGCAGTCGTATGCCAGGGGACAGGGGTCCCTAGCATACGTATTGGTGGAGTGTTTTTGAGTCGGCGTCGTTTATAATCGAAGTGAACGGCGGAGCTCTTCTCCGGGTTCACATCGATGCGCCATTTTTTGAACCAAGCTCCTAGGTCATCAACTGACTTTTGGATCTTGTTCCGTATGAAATGTAGCGAGGTACCTTTACAGTATAGGGCAGTGTCATCTGCGAAGAGGGAGAGCTGAACACGTTTCGACGGGATGGGAATGTCGTTGGTGAACAAAATGTACAGGAGTGGAGCAAGTACTGAGCCCTGAGGGACACCAGCTTTGATGGGGCGCTGAGAAGATAGCGTGCCTTCGTGTCTAAAACGAAAGGTACGATGCTTTAGATAAGAGGCCACTAGACGTACTAGACGATCGGGGAGACCTATTTTGTATAATTTGTAGATAAGGCCTTCATGCCAGACTCTATCAAAGGCTTTAGCTATGTCGAAAAGGACCGCGATGGTCTTATGACGACGAGGATAAAAACCGCTGAGGATATATTCCACAATACGGTGAACTTGTTGGGGACAAGAGTGTTTCGCTCGGAAACCGAATTGATGGGGGATGATATGAGGGTCACCGTCTGTGGGAAACAGATGGCGCCTTATGCGAGTTGGATGACTCTTTCGAAGAGTTTGCCCATGGCCTTGAGAAGGCTAATGGGGCAATGACTGAAGGGGAGGTTGAGAGGCTTGCCTGGCTTGGGAATACCAATCACAGTTTTCTCTTTCAACGTAGTGGGAAAGTAACTAAGGTTGGAGCAGGCATTGAAGATAATAGATAAAAGGGTTAGCACCTGCTCAGGAAAGTGTTTTAGGGCTTGGTTGGAGATGCCATCCGCGCCCGGAGCCTTTTTAGGCTTAAGTCCTTTGATGAGGGATGAAATCTCATCATCAGAGATAGGTTCGGAGGCTGTAGGGGGAGAGTTCCGGCGGCGGACCTCATCCTCCACTGCCTGGACGTGTGAGGGGTCGACGGGTTGAGAGCTAGGAGAGCATTGAGCGGCAATGCTGTTTGCAAAGCACTCAGCCTTTTCCTCGTCC